AAAAAAAAGTTACAGAAAAGCTATGTACGTTAACCCTTGTCTAAAAGTGGAGAAGAGAACAATTTAACAAATTCATGAAATAAAAGTTGCTGTTACCTAATCATTTTAAATATGTAGGGTGAGTGTTCCTCGTGGGATGGTTTAGGCAGACTACTGGTTAAGGGGGTTAGCTCAGGAGTTAGTCAAACCCCAGCCCTACCACTCATCAGCTTAGCTTAGTTACGCTCCCAGAGCACATTTTTCTCATCAGTAAAGTGGGGATGGTGATAACTACCCTGGGGCTGTTAGGATTCAAAGGGATGAGATGCATGGATGGCATTGCCAGTGCCAGTGAACTAACAGGAGCTCAAAACTTGTGGGTCCTAGCCCCAACTCTGTTGTGGGTCTTCACCCCCAAAATGCAGAAGAGATCACTGGCCTAGAGTGAATAATGGATATTTTCAAGTGTCAAATCTCATCCTAGTTATGCGACTTCCGTGCTTACTCATTCCTCGACTTCCCCCTTTCCTCATCTGTGAAAAGGGGGTTATAATTCCTGCTCACCAGTTGGGGGTGTATGCATCAGGCAGAAAAAAGGTAACAATGTTTTTCTACACTGTAAAGCATTATGTAAATATTAAGCATCATTACAGCCATAATCAATAAACTTTACAAACAGTTATTAAGATGACATGTATCTTTGATTAGTTTTTCTTTGTAACAACCACAACAAAAGGATTTTGTTAAAATATAACTGTCTACTTTGAAAGCAGAGAAAATAAAAATAATGCTCCAAGTAAATGTGAGCCAGTCTTTTGTAGTCAATTCAATTATGCAGCACTTCAGTAAACTTTTCCCTGAAAGATTCGGTATCCAAAACATTGGAGGAGAAACAAACTATTCAGGCATTCCATTTGACCGCGGATCTACAATGTAGTCTCCTATCCTAAGGAATAGGCCTTCTGTGAAAGCTAATAAACCATTCTAGGCATTCCAGGCCATCACCACAATAAAATGGAAAATTCTCATCATCTGACCCTGGCTCTACCTGTTCTTCTTCAGAGACAGCCCAGGCACTGGAGCACTGCTGGTTTGTATCAGTCCAAAGGATGACTCAAAGCTTCCCTTCTCCAACACCAAAGAACGTAGATGCCCCTGCGAATCCTGGCCTGAACCAGACAGAGACCGTGGGAGACCAAGCAACCCCCATTTCACCCATCGTGCACAGAAACACTTCCCCTTCCCTGGTCCCCAAGGCTTCACAGAGTGGGCACCTCAATCTGCTGTCATCTTCTTGCTCCCCACACTTGACCTCTGGCACAGGATGCTGTCAGCAGGAGGTTCCATAGTTTTCTTAGGGAGCTTTTATTTTCTTGTTTCAACCTTAGTTTTTTTCTCCCCTCCTTAGAAAAAATTATGACAGCTTAAGGTTCTTTTTCCCCCAATACAGAACTTTTACAAATGGCCTGAATCAAGAGTGGAAGCACACATTTATACAAGACACATCACCTGATTTTAAATCCGTCTCCATTTACTGCCTATATCACATAGTGTGGAGTACATGCAGTTGAGTGAGATATGCCACCTCGAATGTTTCCAAATTTGTCAGCTGTAATGCTGGCAGAATTAACATATACCCTGCACTTGAAAAATACATAGTGGTGCTTCAATGTATGACACCACCATCGATCCAGCTGCTCAAGTCCCAGGCCTCAGAGATATTCCAGAATCCCGTGTTTCTGCTTTCTGTCACCCTAAGCCCTACTGGCTCTTTGCCCACTGCTCCTGGGATTCTGTTTCCTGACCGTGGTCTACAAGGCCCAGTATGGCCCAAATTTTACCAATCCCTCAAACTTCATCTCATCCACACACCCCTCCACAAACTACTTACCTTAGGTGACTTAATATTATGTTTTATTGTCTGTCTACTCCTCTATACCAGAAGCTTCAGTGAGGGTACATACTTTATCTTTTCACCATTGTGCCCCCCAGGCCCAGATCCAGTGCCTGGCACACAAAGGGTCCTCAATAAACATCTGTGGATGGAACGGATGAATCCCTACCTAAAAGGAAGCACTAGTATAAATAGAAAGGATATCAGAAAACCATGGCTGAATCACAATATCTCTGAGGTAGATGTATTTTAAGCTGATTTAAAAGGAGCAGAGGTATAAAGAATAATATATGAAACAAAAACGGACTTCCTGGAGGGGGCTGGTCCCTAGTGTATTCCCTGTTCATCTCATTCATGGCAGCAGCTCCTTCCTAGCCTCCTCGCCCCCTTCCCCTTCCCTTTTCATACCTGACTGGTCACCTGCACTACCTCTTCTTCCCATCACCAGGGCTGCTGGTTCCATTTAAGCCCACTTCATCTCCTCGCCAAACCCTACGGCCCTCTTGAATGGGCTCCTTCCACATTCTCTCCCTTTTTGGGTTCATCTCCCCACAACATCCCTGCTACCAGATGGAGCATCCCAATGCCCAACCTTCCCCAGTCAAAGACTTCCTCTGATTTCCGGTGGCATACCAGGGAAAATCCATATCATAAAGGCACTTCACTCGCTAAAGCAGAGTTCACCCCACCGGGCTCATCTCCTTCACCTCCCTTCCTCCTTCTCCCCCCAACATGGGTCATCTCTCAGGCTCTGCCCTACACACAACGTCCTCGTCCAGTGCTCCTGCCTAGAATGTCCTCCATCACACTCCTCCACCTCTTCTCCACCTGGCTGTCCCCTGCTCATGTTTCTGGACCCAGCTCAGGCTCACTTCTCCTCTGTGAAGACTTTTCAGTGGTTGATTGCTCCCTCTTCCAGTTTAACAGACTGTCCTGTTCATGACCATTCAGCACCCATCACAGACTCCTAACCACTTGCTTCAAGCACTCTCTCTCCTACTTTGAGCTTCCCTGGGGTATGAATGGTTTCTTATTCCTCTTTCTACCCAGAGGACACTAAATACATTCATAAAAAGCTGGCTGGATGGTACACAGGAGAAGGGAAGGAGGAGGGGATTAGGAGGGAAAAGAAGGAAAAAAGGAGGAAGAAGGAGATGAAGGGACAAGGGAGACGGAAAAGGAGGCTTTTCCCCTTTAAGAAGCCTCTGGCAACTAAGGGCGGGGATTAGCAGAGGCCTGGGGGTAAACCAGAGCTTAAACCCTGAGGGAGGAGATCTGGGGGAGGTCACTGGGCAGATGCAGTAGGGAAGGCCCCCCATTTTGAGAGGCTGGCTGTGAGCCCACAATCTCACTGCGGGTGCGGCTGGGGCTGCATACTCTGAGCACAGACAAGTGGCTTTTTCTGGGAAAAATGTAAAGAGATCAGCGGGAGGAGAGGCTAGCCAAATACCGTGGTAACAGTAAAGGCAAATTCCAAGTCAACCCACTTAACTCTCAACCTTGCTCCAACTTTTAACAGAGATATATTTGCGGAAATTGTTAATGAGCTGTGTGCTCTGCAGCTGAGGCTTTGCTTCCCACCCCCCCAGGAAAGCCCACCCAGGGGCCCGCCCCCCCCGCCCCCCCACTGCTGGACTTGACCAAAGCCCAAGCTTCATGTTTGGAGAAATGTATTCGTTTCTTTCTTGACTCTCTATTCAGCTTTTATTATTCCTAACTCCACTTAGTTATGTACTTTTCTATTTTATTGTACATAATCTTTTAAGCCATCTCAAATACTTTATGACACACACACACAAAGTAAAAATTAGATGCACACAGAGATGCTTGTTTAGCTTCTAAAGGGCTTACTGGAACAATTCCCAACCTCTTAACTGTCATCTCACCAAGAAGCAGCAAACTGAAAAACAAGAGTTTGAATTCCTGTTTTCCTCTCTTAATGTGCCACCCC